GGACTAATGTTCAATTAAGTAACACAACATGACACCAAAATGCAAATTTCCCCTGTATCTAATCAAAAAAACATTGAACTCAATTGCTGGTTTTGTAATCAAAGCTGCAAGTGACTGCATTGTCCCCTCAGTTTCTCTACTTCAAACACCCTCTTAATTGGCTTTCCGGGACACGGCTCCACTGCCAAGGGTCTTGAAGGAGAGCACGAACCTTTTGGCAAATTATTTTTTTGATCCGTTTAGCCTTGTGTGACGAAAATGGTTGGCAGCAGGCTTGGTGTCGGCGTGCTCAGCATTTATTCGGTTTGTCCCCTCGGAGTGATCTGTGAACTGCACAAGAAAGCTGCAGGGCATCGCTGTTCAATAAAAAGACTGAATTACTGGCTCTGTGGCTACAGCGGATCTTATTGGAACATACTGCATCAATCAATGAGCACAACTGCCAAAATGCTTTCTCGACTACTCTTAGGCCATTTTTTGACACTGGTGACACGGATCTTTTTGACGATGACTGAAGTCTGAAGTTTCATATTCTTATTTGTCTATTTCAGCTTTTTAGTTTAATATTGCTTACGGCTAAAAAACTGCACGGGCAAGGAAAATGATTTGACCCCAGTTCAAAGTGTTCGCTCTGCAAACAGGAGTTATTGTTTGCCCTACAACTTATTTAAATTTTGGCATTAAAAAAAATCAAAGTCACACAATTTAACTAGTTTTATTCAATGACACAGCTTTTTGAAATAGTAAAGGTGGAAAACAGAGGTAAGATAAGGAGGATCAATGTGCAGACTGTGGCTTCGTTTTGTCTTGTATTCGCAGAAATGTTACAGACTTAAGACAAGATTTATGGAGATTGACTCACTGCTGGACAATAGTGTCAATAAGACAGAAATTTACAGAAATAGGAAAATGTCACTCCTTTATTCAACAGTGGATTAAATCAAATTCTTGATCTTTGGGCTAAATGGGAGTTAAAAAAAAAAAAAACAGCTGCTCTAGCCTCATCACTCCAAAAGCAATTTTAGACTAACCGGTTTATTCACTTTTTAATGACTAATTTTGTAGGCTCATATGTCTTCCGTACAATGACTTTTAGCTGAGCTTAGTTCCAGTGGGAACAAAAGCAGTGATGGGAGCTTAAAACACTTTTATTGTTTCTTTTTCGAGACATGCCAGAGTGAGCGATCCACCAGGAACACATGGCGAACTCTTCCAGCCAAAATCTCCCATAAATTCAGACACGAAACTCCTTTCTTGTCCATGTTTGACTGATGGGATTCACATGTGATCAGCTGCGAGATGTGACTGTAGGAATTTGATTCCAGAGGGTAAAGCTTTTGAATCTATCTACTCTCCGTCCTGGTGTCAATTACTGTCAAGTTTCTGGCAGGTTCCTTTGATGGTTTGGGAAGTCAGCGGGGTCAGCCTTTCACCGTGCGGCAGCTCAGGATCCAAGTGTAAGTCTTGAACTTCATTCAGCTTCCTTTTTCGCTGCTTCAATCTATCTTTCTTAACCACATTTAAGCAGTTCTCATTAAGTACAGTGTCTGTATTTCCAATCAATCACTAATGCAGCATTAGTTTTTAAATGGATTGTTAAATCAAGTGGCTGTCAAAGATGTCAGTGTGGCATAGACTTAGCAGATGCTTAATTTAACACAAGCAGTGTAGTTTGACAATTGTGCTAAATATGATATGAATGATGGTGATTTCAGTTTCCCATCACACAAGCTTAAATTTACACAGTAGTCATGGCATTAAGGGAACAAAACATATGCTGGTAAAGGAAGGTAAACAGTAGTGAAATGAAGATCCTGTTCCACATATGTTGCTCAGCTCCACCCTTTTGGTCAGCACTGAAATGCCATTTAGGCTATCAGCTGTTACAGTATCCTGAGTCGGAAATGGTGCAAAAATAGTAAGCTGTCTCACAGCAAAGTAAAGTAGTGACAAATTACCCAGTAAACCCTGTATTTGACACTAAAACGTTGCCTCTATCAGTGGTTTTTCTTTTTGATGTCTGAGGTATCAAATGCTCTCTATATGCTGCATCTCATTTACCTTGAGGTCAGATGACAGAGATGGTAATCGTGTCATACTGAAGTAGAGAGGATACATTAGCTTCTGTTGTTGTAAGCGTTTTAAGCTAGCATTAGTGCTGCACAATATTGGAAAAAACTAACATTGCGATTTTTTTCAATCCTGCGATATATATTGCGATATTAAAAAATACAGGAATTTTCACCAGATGACCTGAATAGCACTTTATGCTATACTGCACTGCTGAGGTCTTGAGAACAATTAACCTGCACTGATATTACCTCTTTTTGTGAGTGTTAGTAGAATGGATTCTGTCTGTCTTAGAGATATTTTTAGTACGCTTTTACTGTGCTGGGACTTATCTCTTGTTGTGGCAACAGGTGAAAGGCACTGCCGACACAGAACACGTGTTTGGTCGACATCATCCTTCTTGTAACCAAAATAATTCCAAGACATTGCTTTTCTTTTTGGCAACAAGTCTTCATTTTCTGTGCTTTTCTCTTGTTCGTTGCTAATTTTGCAATTGTTGTTGTTGTTACCGGTGTTGTGCCAAGAAACGCATGTCCTCCAGAATTGCATGCACCTTGCAGAAACACGCACTGCTTGTAGTAGAGTGGTCCATGGAAATGTACCATTAAAACCCATACAATTCATATTTGTGGGGCTAAAAAGTGATGAGCAGCAGCTCACTCCATGTGCAGAACATGTTCAGGGGTGCGGTTTTCCTCTCTGATTTTGATTGACGGCTGGCAGGGTAGTTTGGTTGGCAAGTGAGTAAACAACAAATGTGATTGTGGGATCGCTGCACAGCACATGCAGAGTCACATGCGAACAATAACACACTGTGAAATTGTTTAAAATTAAAAGTCGCAAGACTTGTGTAGATAACAACTAGCTTTATTCTGTTTTTATTTACTTTTCTGCACACAAAAAGACCAACTTGATTACAGATACTGTTCAAGTAAAGCCTTTTTAGCTCTTATTGTAGGAAACAACCATTTTAAATCACCAAAATTCAGATTTCAGGAGTGTCCTGGATGACCCATCTGGTGGTTATAATGGATTACAGATTTGCCATTAAACAGTCATTTTTCATGTCCATTTTCACCCAAAAACCTGTTGGTGCAGCCCAATAAACTTTAAACCTACTGGCTACTTCTCTGAATAACAACCCTGAGCGATTTGGACACAACTTGTGCAACTTCCTTCATTTTATTGCGCTTATATCTCTTTTTACAGGCTGTACAGAAACAACAACTATGATATCGACAACTCTGATTATTTTCATGGCTTCTGTTTTTGTGCTCGTGCCCACGGAAGGCACTGGCTAATGTATGATTCATACCATTTCCATTATCTGCTGACTGCATGGTGATGCATGAAACATTACAGGGCGTGCGCGCATTTAAGTGTGTGTTTTGTATGTGAGTGTGAGTGAGTGTGTCTCCCACCGCGCGCTACGTCCCAGGAGCCCGGCATCACGTCACGTGTCAGGGCTCCCGGTTGCTCGGCCAAGTTTTTCCGTGTCAGATCATCCACGGAGCTTCAAGCACACACATACACGTTCCAGTCCTCCCGCGCGCATCTCCGCTCCACGCTGCGTAACCAACACCTCAGCGAGGATGGACGGATGGATGCATGCCTGGATGTGGATAAATTTCCCTGTTTGACCGAACGCGCAAATCGAGAGCACTCTTCGCGACTCTTCTATCACTTCCAGTGATTTTTAAATTGGATAACCTTTGATCTGTGGAGCTGTGGAGAAGTACGGAGGGGATTTTTTTTAAGGAGAGAGAAGAGGAAGGAAAGAAAGGATTGCTGAGAAGAGGCTGGGTGCGCTAGAAACACGGAAAGTCACGGATCATGCTCAAGAAAACTTCCGATTCCGTCTCGATAAGGTATGTTTAATTAATAAAAAAATCTTTCTTTATGTTGTTGGCGTTCAGAAATCAACCGAGTGGCGCTTTGGAGTCCACTTTGTAGTGTCGAAAAAGCAAAAACACACAGGTGCTGCGCGCTCAATTATCCCCACAGGCTTCTTTTTTATGTCTGTGGCACTATTTTCAATGCTTAAGTACTTTTTAACAGCTATTCTGCTGCAAACATGTCCAACATTTCTCCTCCTTTGTCGGTGTGATGCGCTTGGCTCCCATGACGGCAAAACGATAGTCAACAAAGCCCATTAAAAAAGCCCCTAAAAGAGAAAAGTCTGTCAGCTTCATTATGATCGCTGATATTTTCCTCCCCACGTTATTCAACTTATTGATAAAACAGGATTAGTGTGACATCTATTGTGTTTGTCTTTTCTTTTTCTTTTTGCGCATTCCCTGCCCACCATTGCGTGGTGTGGGCTCAAAAAACCTCCAGTAGACCAGAGACAGAGCAGTCCATCTGTTCAATCACATAGCAACAGGAAGAGCGAGGAGACAGTGAGAAGAAAAAAAAATATATATTCTTAGTGTCACCATAAAATCATAAAATGACTCTGTAGCGCCTACAGAGCTTCAAACAGCATTAAAATGAATTTACTTGGATGATATGTAACCACAAGTGTCCCCCTGCTAGTTTTTGTGCTCCTTTATCGCTTCAATCACACTCAGTCAAGATTCATTTGACGTTTCTGCTAGACTTTGAGTTTCCTTTCTCCAAAAAGGTGGCGAATTTCTTACCAGTGAGTTTTTTTTTCACATATTGAGAAAATCTTTGTCCAAATGAAATGAAAGCAAGCACGTTTGTTGCTAAGAGATATTTGTTCAGCTCATTCCTGTCCAACTGCTCCCCCTCTTTCACCTTTTTTGTCCTTGTTTCTCACTTCTTCTTTACATCTTTGCGAAAATATTCCTCTCCACCTCTGTCTCTGCCCCTCCCATCTCACCACTGACCCCTCCCACCTCCCCACCTCTCCCTAACCTCTCTCCCTCTGACCTCCCCTCCAGAGTGGCTCTGCCTGATGCTCTATCATGACTGATGGCGAGGGGAGAGCGCGCTTTGACTACACAGAGGGCCCCGAGGTGAGGGGGCAGGAGCAGGAGCAAGAAGAGGAGGAGGACGTGCACCAGGAGGTGAGGCTCGCCATACACCCGGGCCACAATGTCGGCCCTGGAGGAGGCCGAGAAGAGGAGGAAGAAGAGGAGGAGGAGGAGGAGGTGGAGAGGAAGACGAGGAGTAGTAGTGGAGGAGAGTGGAGTCCTGACGTGGAGGAGCATGAAGAGCAGGAACCGGAGCTGGAAGTTGGACCACCATTGGGAGTTCGAATCCATGCGCCCATTCGTGATCCAGATTGTGTGTCTGAGGAGGAGGAGCAGCAGCCGTACCCTGCCCTTGCCCCGGTGGCGTTCTTCTGCTTGAAGCAAACAACACGGCCTCGCAACTGGTGTCTTCGCGTCGTCTGTAACCCATATCCTTTTTATACTCTGGAAACCTAGCTGCCCGACTCCTGGTAAGACCCCAAATGTTCTTACTTCACCCATGTGTGAGCCGTGCTGGACTTACACACACACACGCACACACCTCGGTTTGAAGGTAGGCAATGTGAATCACGCCAAAATACTCAGCAATTCGTGACATAGCTGGCAGTTAAATATGGTTGGTTGATGGTTTAAACTTTGCAGCATTGTTCTTGTAAACGTAACAAATTCCTAATCCCATGAGACTAAACAATCAGCAGAACCAGGCCTCACACTTGTGAAATTTGACAGCGCATTTGTCTGAACACCAGGGTACAACCTCTGCTGGATGCTAATGTTTATGCATGTGAAATTACAAATGAGCTGTAAGGCTGTAGGAATAACATACAGGTCTTGCTGCAGTTGTCTTGAGTTTGTCTGCCTGGCAAAAATTCAAGGGATGTGATAGTTTACGGAAGTTCCTTTTTGTGCTAGCCTGATATTTGGATGTTTTCCACTAAAGGCATTGTGTACGGTCTATACTCTTCTGTGTTACTTAACAGATTGCTGAGCGCTTGTCTTTCAGGTGGTAAAGCTAACTCTTAGTTGTAACAGCAAAGAGGCAGCCATTAGCTCCAACCTACTGTTTTGGAGGCTTCTTCTAATTTTCCATCTCCTTTTCTGGTTTGCAGACAATGCACTGGATTGCATACTCAAGCTGCCAAGAAATACATTTTCAATCATTAGTATTTTGTTTCAACTCAGTGGAGTAGCTAACGATACAAATATTAAAAAAAGAAGGAGGCCTTGGAATTTGAAAGTAATAAATGTGGTTGCGTGGTGTTTGTTATGGTAGCTAGCGCAGCTTTTGAGGTGTTGTCTCGTTTCGTTTAAATACAAACAGTCTACGGAAGCTGGTCCCCTGTAGGCTGAGTCCTTCAAAAGATTACACTTAGCTTCAGATGATATGATTGCAGTTGTGAATTTCCACCCACACCCAGAATAAGAAATTTAACTGTTGTTACAGTGCTTAACTACAGTGCAAATGTTCGGAGCAGGTAAATTAAAGTAATTTAACTGAAAATCTGAAAAGACATTCAACAGTGACAGTCTGGCAGCTGTGTTTTCGGTATTGACAAAATATTTGATAACCCGTTAGCTAAAGGTGACCAGATTTCTGTAATTAATCTGGGGACATTTAGGGGGTGGGGGGTGTTAAGCAGAATGTCATTTCAGGCCCTCTATTTAGCAGCGCACGCCCCCGTAATAACCCCCCGTACAAACTGTTGTTCAGGACTGCGCGCAACATTCTTACTCGTGCTTCCTCCCTACTCAGCCACAGTAAAAACTGTTGCTCTAGTCCACACACAACTTTTTTTTCTAATTCATGAAACACTTAAACCAGGGACATTTCCGGGGACAGCTTTAGCTGAGGACAGGTCATCTAAAACGAGGACATTAGCTCCAATTTAACAGCAGCTAAAGCTAGCATCCCACTGCCAGCTAGCAACAATAAACTGTTAGCATTTAGCCCATTTCTATCTAATATTACCATCAGCTAGGAAGTCATTGACCGCTAAAATTACTTCTGCATATGAGTTTTAAACATAGACTGTATACAGAATGGACAGCATCTGCCTCCTCACTGGGTGAAGCCACTCTGAGAACAGCACCCTCTGTTGATGGGCTGCAGTATAGGTCATAAATCCCGCCTCCTCCAGCAAAGCTTATGGGGCTGTGGACAAACTTTAGAAATTTATTACACAGAACATAAATTTTTCTCCCCCCTGCTTGTGATGTTGACATTTAGTTATTGTAAGACTGGTTTATGCTCAAGTCCTCTTTTTTTCTGTGAAGCTCTGTTATTAAAAGTTATTAGGGGGGTTCATGTTTTCTATGATTGACACCTAATACAGCCTATTGGCATTCAGGGATTGCGTAGCTCACCTGGGAGATACGCTGTTTGAGCCGAGCGTCATCACAGCAACTCTCAGAGACTCTCTCGTCGAATGCGCACAATGCTACAGCGCAGCGCCGGTTTCAGGAAATGAAGAAAAATCCCAGAAATACTGAGAGCTGTTTGGCTTCAAATCCGTATACAGACGGGAGGCGGAACCAAGTTGTCCATAGTATATACAGTCAATGGTTTTAAACCACTTAGCTTTAATGGTCTTTCCAGCTAGGTTGTGGTTTGATGCTAACATTAGCTATAGGCTATCCTCAGGGAATTTATTTGTCAGTAACGTAGTATTAGCTTTAAGTATTGCAGACTAACCCTCGGGGGAAGAAGTGAAGTTGTGGTTTTGGCTGAATTTGCACAATTTATACAATTTTAAACTGGGTTAGGCTACGACATAAAAACAGCATTTTAGCTTCCTGACATCAGCATTATATCAGAGGGAAATGGCCACTGTTATGAAATGATGAATGAGGGCCTGAAATTCAATTTGTCTGCTGCCAAAAAAGTGTACAATCAGCTCATTTCTTTACGTGAATTCCAATTTTGATGTGATACAGTTTTGTTTTCAATGTCCCTTTAACCGACACAGGTCAAAGGCTCACAAATTCTTTGTTTGCAATCATTTGTTCCGTTTCAGGTTCAGTTTTATCTTTTGGGGGGTAACAGTTTCTTCTTTCGGCAGCCATTTTGTGCTAAAAAATCATTCATTTTAAATTAATGCTAAACAGTCCAAGTGAAAAACCTGTTTAGCTGCTTATGTCTGAGTTAGTATCTATTATTACCCCTGAGCTTTACATCCTGCCTGGATAATTTTCATCTGTGGGATGTTTCCACACACTGGAGCAAAGATGAAAAAGAACATTATGTGCATCCAAATCCAAGCACTATAAAAGGAACCTGAAGATGAACCGCTGTAATATTTTTCTGTCTTGATGTGTGGGGTGGGCGGTGTAAAAACAAAATGAGGACCTGAGTCATATTTATTTGATAAGAACATTCCTGTCTACCCTGAATCTAATATGCAGTTTATTGAGGGTATAAAAACACACAGAAAATCTGGAAACTTGCTCTTCCTCTTATCCTCTATCTGTCTAATGATGTTGTTGCAGCTGTCATACAGGCTAATTTGAATACTGTGGACTATTTAACAGATCTGCATGGTGTTGTAGTATCTTGTGTGTGTGTCTGGCCTGTGATAGTGGAAGTGTGTCTTCTGCGAGTGAATCTGTTTGAAGTTTGAAAGGAGATAGAGAGTGCAGACAGGTAGATAAGCAGCTGGATACATGCACCGAGTTGTTTGAAGAACAGGAAGCGGCAAAGCAAAAGGTGAAGATTTGTTTATTTCTTTCTCCACACAAGACTGTCAAAATTTAGGAGAGAGAGAGACGATGATTCTTAATCGACTCAGACTGACTCACTGATTTGGATAGAAGTCTGTTGATCCTTCATCTAAAATTATTCCTCTCAGTTTTCTGTTAAAACATGGTTTGAAGTCTGATCTGATGCTGCCTTGCATTGGTGAGCTGCTAATTTTGTTGGGGACTGGTACGTCACTTGTGTCTCCCATAGACAAGAAAGTTGAATGGTCAATGATTTGGTGGTTTTTCTGTAACATTTGATAACCTTTGCCAGTATTCAAGCATGATGGTTCTCACTTCTGTGGCTGAACCTCTCATTTTCTACTTTTTCTCGCTGTTTCTTCTTTTGGAAAATCTTTTGCAGGGCTGTTAACCTCACTGGCCACCTTGCATGTGTGCCTCGAGTGCAAAAATGCGGTCATGCTCTGTTATGCCCTCTGCAATCCCAGATGATATGTTCAAATCTGGGCAGCAGACAGCAGGATAACCAGACTTTCAATCCCTAATATGAGATAAGCTTTCCTGACATGATAGAGGAGGGCAAGGCTGGAACTTGAATAAACCTCCATATTTTGTAGTTATAAAATTTGGCAAATTAGCCAAAACAGATTAAAACAAACACTAGTTACATCTCCCTTAGAGTTTTATCTGTGGTTTTCAATAAATGTCATGAAAATTCATGGTTTCGGTCTGGTTATTTTCTGGTAAAATAACCGACATGTCAAAACTCTGGTTACAGTGGTTGAATCAAGAGAAACATTTCCACATGGGTTCATAACAGTAAACAAAGCCAGCATAGCTGCTCGCATGGCTGAAGCTAAAAATGAGTGAATTCACAGTACTAGAAGGCTAAGAGACGCCAATCTGTAGACTTTGTCAAGAAGTGGTTTCCGCTACAGACAGCTCAATGACTCACTTGTTCTACTATCCACATTAAGCACGTATATCATTTTTTTGTCAATGTTAAAATCCCCAAAAAGAGGATTTTTTAATTGGCTAAAAGCTGCATGGGATTGATCCAGTAAGCCAACACTAGAAAAGTGGTAACCAAGGAAGAAGAACAACTTATAGTAATGGCCTAAAGTAGCTTTTAAAGTACTGTGCTCTTGGGAAAACAGCTGTCTACGGGGAAAACAAAAAAACAAAACATACTTTGAGCTTAGGTCAACTGCAAAAGGACAGGTTTAAGGATTTACCAAAAGTGGCAAATAAATTTACTCAAATGTTATAACAAATTTTGGTTCAATTGGGCCTCAACACTATAAAGACCACTTTCCTATTTGAACCCAGTGTCCCCAGTCTGTTTGTCAGACATATTGTTGTGCTGTTGTCCTCAAGAAAAGGCCAAACCATTTCAGGCCCAAATGTAAAACTGGTGGTTGTTGACTCAAACTGCCCCGTCAGCCAATATCTCCCCCTTCTAATGTCCCTGAGCAGAATAAAGCATCTCTACTCCAAGGTTTCTGTTTTCAAACTGAAATTCCCTTCTGGGCATTATATATATGTATCAAAGCCTTATCTTCATGTTGCTCTGTGAAGGCACCACAGAAGCCAGGCATGGAAATGAGCCTCATGTGACGTTCTCTCCCAGAAAAGAGCTACTTGGTGAAATAAGGAGATTACACAATTCAGGAAGGCTGCCCCTGCAGTCAGAGCAATTCTATCCAGGTTGTTTGGGGATAGAGGGGATAGAATTGGCAGACCTGTGCAGGCACTTGGGA